GGAACAGGGTTTGTGGGTCGCTTTGGCAAAACACAAGAGTAGTTGTTTGTGGTGCGTTGGGATGTTATCTGCGCCCTTTATGGCTTACTGGATGTGTTTTCAGCAGAGCGAAACACCCTCTCTGTTTAACAGATAACAGATAACCAGAGTTGGAAGGGACCTTGTAGGTCATCTAGTCCAACCCCCTGCCCAAGTGCGAGACCCTACACCATTTCTGGCAAACGGGAGTCCAGTCTCTTCTTGAAAGTCTCAAGCGATGAAGCTCCCACAACTTCCGAGGGCAACTTCTGTTCCATGGGTTGATGGTTCTCCCTGTCAGAAAGTTTCTCCTTATTTCCAGGTTGAATCTCTCCTTGTTCTGTTTTCATCCATTATTCCTTGTCTGGCCTTTGGGGGCTTTAGAAAATAGCTGGGGCAGCCCCTCAAATATTGGAAGATTGCTCTCCTGCCTCCCCTGGTCCTTCTCTTCCCTAGACTAGCCAGGTCCAGTGTCATGCCCTTGTTAGAGTAGGACTCTGAGGGAGAGGAGGAACAGCTGACAGGGAGTGGAAGTGTGGCTCCGAAGGTTTTTGGCCGTTTTTGGGCGAGGCTGGGGAGGGGAAGAGGCCGTCTGGGCAGTCAGAGGAAGAACCAGGCCCATCCCCTATCCATCCTAGGGCACATGGGGAGGAGAGAGCCTTGATCCTCTTCATGGGCTGCAGCTGTGACAACTGAATAAGAGGATAGACCTGCATATGGGCGAACGCTGGAAACAAAGCATGGAAATATCTCTAGTTTATGGTTCCTTTTCTGAGTTCGGCATCCTTCCCAGTGTGTGTTCTGTTATCTGTGGACGTCTTCCAGCCCTTATCTTGCCTGATTGGTGTTGATTTTTTTCCCTTCTTCTTATAACTGAGGGGGAACTTGCCCCACTCGCCCCACGCACCTGGCCTGGCCACCGGGCTGCTTCTTTCCACTTATGTCTTCTTCTGCTTTTGGCTGCACGCAAGGAAAGCAGCCAAAGTCTTTCTTTCCCTCCTCCAAACTCTGCCAGAAATGAGTCTTTGGGACCCTGCAAGGCCTCCTTGCTCCAAGAGGCTGCAAAGACTCATTTCTGGTGGAATTTGGGGGAGAGAAAGAAAGAATTTTGCTGCTTCTGCTGCTTTCCTTGCATGAAGCCAAAAGTCTTTCTCTTTCTCCCCGAGAACAGAGCTGGAGACAGTATCCTGCAATCCCAACTAAAGAATGATTGATCGGTAGGAAAACGGGGTGGGGGAATTTTCCTGCAGACTTTTTGGGGGATTTTCCCAGGGACTCTGGTCCACAGGACTTAAAATGATGAGTTTGGTGGTCCCTGAGGTCCAAAAGGTTGGCAACCTCTTTAGAAGACCTCCAAGGCGCTTTCACACTCTTCCGTTTTACAATGCCAGGTATGCTGCACTGGTTGTTCGTGTGAAAATTGGTCATCATAAGTCCCTTTTCTCAGTGCCATCATAAGTCTGAACGGTCACTGAACAAACCCTTGTCAGTGGAGGGTTTGCCTGTAGAACCCTGCACCGGGGCAGAAGGGATGGAATAGATGACCTCCGAGGTTCTTTTCCCCCCTCTTTCATTTTATGATGCCAGGCAAATTTTGGGAGGACGTTTGCCAGCCGTTCTCCGTCACCCTTAGATTGGTTGAGTGAGAGACAGACAACTGCCATTAATTGATTTCTGGTTTACAAGAGTTATGGACATGTGGCACAATAGACATATGGTCTATTGATCCCATTGATTTGCAAGGGCAGACACCTGCTGGCTGGGAGGCCCCCTCAAAAGTTTCTGAGATGTTTGTATGGCAGAGGTTCACAAACCTGACCTACATTTTCCGTTTTTTAAAAAATTATGATCCTAAGCCAAGGATTTAGTGCCTAACATATGCATACAACTGGTGTGTAAGATCTATCTCCGATTATTATTATATGGAGGGTATTGTTTTCGTATGTGGGGTTTTTCGTCCTGGGTCAAGACTTTCCAAAAGGGAAAAAGATAGGATTATCTGCCTGGGGGTATGTGGAATAAGATGTTTATATAATTATCTAGAAAATCCTGACCCTTTTTCTCCTTGTACCTCAATGAATTTATTATTTTTAATGGCGCCAACTGTTCAAAGCTCCGTTTAATTTTCAGTTGATGGTTCCTATTTCTAGTGCAATTATCCAGGGAAAAAAGAACTTTGTAATCAATGTTGGGTGTCCTGCTTCGGCAGGGGGTTGGACTAGATGACCTACAAGGTCTCTTCCAACTCTGTTATTCTACATTCAATGGAACAATCTGCCTTTAGAAGTTGTGGGAGCTTCATCACTGGAGGCTTTTAAGAAGAGACTGGACTGCCGTCTGTCAGAAATGGTGTAAAGTCTCCTGCTTGGGCAGTGGGGTTGG